TTTAAGCCATGCGAACGTGATGTATCAAAGCCATGCTATGTGAATATAAAAATATTGCACATATATGATCAAGTAGATAAGATTAGCATTGATACGAAATAAGTTAAATTTGAAAAATCAGTACCAAAAGAAATGGATGCAATATCCACTCATATGTATTTATTTATTATTATTTTTTTTAACTTTGCTTGTAACAAAAACCAACAATTTTCAAAACTTAATAACTTTATTGTTTGTTATCAATTTTTCATATATAATATATCGAATTAATCACCTTTCGACGAGCTTTAATTTGACATCTATATTTCATATACAAAATAAAAAATAGTTTTATTTTTTATTATAAATTATCTATTAATACTAATAAAAAATAAATAAAATTATTTATATTGTGGTTGCATATTTTTTTAAAAAAATAAAAAACAAAAAAACTCTCTCTCTATATATATATATATATATACTTATATGTTATATAAATCGTTATAGATTATAAAACAAGTATAAACCGATTTATTACATGTTATGTACTAAAAAACGCAATATATACTAAAAATATACTAACTATAACCACAACATATACAGAAAAATATTTTGGTGTCCGTCTTGTACAGAAAAATGCAATATGTAAACTAAAAATATACTAACTATAACCACAACATATACGGAAAAATATTTCGGTGTCCGTCTTGTACAGAAAAACGCAATTTATATACCAAAAATATACTAACTATAACCACAATAGATAATTCTGCTGAACATAGGAAACCTAAACCTTGCATTAACATATTTTATAAACTAAACATATATGTGATTCTGTATACAAAAACATATACTAAAAATATACTGCCTATATACACAACATATATTGTCTAGATCTCTACGATCCCGAGCTTCAGGCCTCGCCTTCGTTATCTCCAACTCGACCTCCTCGCTGGGAAGGATGAGGGGAGGGATGCACTACCGCCGAAGTCCATTGTTGTCGCTTTTAAAATAACCGCCGGGATAAAAAAAAATCACCGCATCGACATCCGACTCGATCAACGGGGCTTCTTCATCTACAAATCGGGGCCAGATACCATCCAGGCGGCTATCTTCTTGCCGAATTTCTTCTCCACCCACTTTTCCATCATGCAGACGCACCGGAGGCTCGCTGTTGTAGCAAATTATTTTTATTTTACCGAGAACCGAATCAAAAGATTCGTTCCGCGGGTCGATCTCTCAAGGAAGACGGTTCGGAATTTAGCATTGGTACTGATCACAAACGAAATGAAAATAAATCCTAAACATTCTAATCACGATTGATTTGGAAATTTAACTAAAAAAAGCAAACTAGAAAAGCAATTTAAATAAATAACAATTAAATCTCTAGAGAAAAGAAAGAAGTTCTAGGGGTCGGGAAATCTCATCAAGTTTCAAACTATGTTTAACACTTATTTGTTCGGTTACAAGATTTAACAAGCCTACACGTCTAGAGGGCTATGCTCAATAACTCTTCGTAACAAGAGCACATACATAAACGATAAACTTATTCAAACAAGCAACACATAGACAATACGTTTCCGAACATGTCTACTCTATACGAGCCTAAATCGACCAACGCCTCCCCTCTCGGTTCTAAACGTCGATTAACTAGGTTAGAATGGTGATCAATCAACTAACACTATAATTCACACAACTCGCATAGATTGAACAAAACACATTCCACATAATTCAAACAAGAATCAAAATCCCTAACCCTAGGTGAATAGATTACCTCATGCTTAGATTCAATTTCATGTTAACTGGGATTAATAACATAAAACCAATAAACAATAATAAAGTAGAATTGAAAAACTTACAATCGGATTAAAACTTCAAAGATTTCAATCCAGATGTCTTTCTGTCCAACAATCCAAGCATGAGAAAATAAAAAGAAAAGCGGAGAAAATTATCCTAACAATATTGAGTTTTTGGAGAGAAAACTTGAAAGGAACGATATTGAGGGTTGTTCCTTAGGTCTGGAGGTTCGATTTGATATATAGTGCGCGAAAAACGGAGCTAAAACGAGTAAAAACGAGCAAAAATAAAAAACAGGGTCGGCAGGGTCGCGACTCGCGAGTTGACTCGCGACTCGCGAGTTAGACGGGTCGCTGGGCTGCTGGAGGCTCTGTTAAAGTCGCGAGTCGCGACTTTATGCTAGCGAGTCGCGAGATTCTGGACTGCACTGAGCCATTTTGTGTTTTCGCCTCGTTTGAGCTCATCCGAACTCGGAATTGAGTTCCGTTTTTTCCTACGCGTCGCTAACGAACCCCTCTATCCAGTTATGCTCTCGAAACCAACTTTTCCTAAAGAGAAAATTCGCCCGAATCTTTCGACCTACACACCAAAAACGACAAAGCACAAAAGAAAACTGGAAAAACAAACAAAAAACACCTGAAGACTCAAAATGTAGGAAAACATATCATAAATCAATAAACAGCCTAAAACTAAAGAAAAGACCTCAAACGGGGGGAAAAGAAAGATAAAATAAATACAAAAAAACGCAACAAAAATGGGACAAACACTCGCCAAATCCTCCTCCCCGCCGCCGCGATTTGTTTGATACGAGTAATGGATCACCTATGTGCATCAACAACGGCACCGCGAGATGGGGGGTTGCCTGCTATGGTAGGGATTTTGGTTTTTGCCATGAAAATGGAACCTAGGGTTTACTGATAAGGCAGTTTACGTTGAGTGTTTCGTGGATTTGGGCGTGTGAGAGAGATGAACATTGATAATGCGAGAATAAGGGGGTTAGTTTTGCTTTAATTTTGTCAGTTATCCTTTCTAATCTGTGTTAATTGAATAAAATATATTATTACTCCTTAACTTAATGTTCCGTCAAATTGAAATATAAATTAGAGGATTTCGTAATCTTGCTAAATTTTAATGTGGAAGTGTAAAATTGCAAATAATTACTTGTGGACTTGTGCCCCAAGTAATTTCCTCAAAAAATATGTATATAATCTATGTAATTTTTTATTTAGCCCAATCTAATTTCAGAGTGGTTATTTTAAAATTCAGGTTGAATTCGCTCATTTGACCAAAGTGGTGGATAAGTGATGATCGTAGTGAGAGAAAAGAAGACAATCCTGTATAGCCAAATGATAATTGTGCTCTTACTATATTTTTATCAATTGGATTTATAATGTAGCCCAACACTCTCTGCGGGATATTTATCAGTTGGATAACTAAGCTTGACACTCACTTCTCATGTGGGCTATTTAATTGGATTTGTCTCATTGCACAGTCATTTAATCATTTTCGTTTGGTTTTTGTTGACTTCACTTTCAATAATTAATTTGGCCTAATTCTCTAGACAAAGAAAAAACTCTTATAGAGTTGATTCCAAACATGTTCGACTCCACTTGTTTGGTTGACAAGTTCGATTAGTTGTTTAAATTTGACTTGTTTAAATATATAAACGAGTTGAGATTAAATTTTTACAAATTCGAACGGGAATTTGTTAACAAATAACTCTATTCTAGTACTTCATGGCCAAAACCGATTCCAGGTTAATACCGTCGGTCCCGGGCCGAGGGTTGGAAGGCCCTAAACCGGCCCGAACATATGCACGGGCCGGTTTATTGAACTATCGGTCCTTGGCCGCCTGTTTCATTGAAAAAATAATAAATAATTAAATAAAATTTTTTTTTTTAAAAGGACGAACCCTTGGTTCTGATTCCAGTTAGTGTCACGGGCCGGTTTGTGCCAGTTCAGGCCGAGCCGAACTATGACTATGTTTACCTGATTCCAATAATAGCTACAATAATATGCAGCCCACGATTAAAATTAGTTTTGGCTACACCTCTATATATAATTGCAAACTCGTGCTATATATCTTTTTTATTGTTTCCCTTTCATCCACATAACTTCCATATACGTCACACAATCGAAGAAGCGAAAAAAAAAATGACGAAAAAAAATAGACAGAAAAAAATAAAGACAATTAACTTAAGGAATTTTTTACCAAAAAATTGAAAACGAATTAAGGTGTGGAAAAAAAAAAAACACAAACAAATGAGAGTGGACCAAAATAAAAACCCCGTATTCAGTGAATACGTTTTACCATTTTTTTAATTGTAAAACGTATTCACTGAATACGCTTTCTTTTGTAAAGAAATCTGGAAAAACGTATTTAAGGAATACGTTTTCTACACAAATTGTATGGAAAACGTATTCCTTAAATACGTGCTTTTTATTGTTGTCCACTTCCTTTTTTTTTTTTTTTTNNNNTTTTTTTTTTGTCCACATGTTTTTTTAATTTTTTTTAATATATAAATTGCTCTTAATTTTAAGGCCCTAAAAAACGCGTTATATATATATAGAGAGTTTGCATGCATGACAGATTAGAAACAGCTGTTTCATTTTCACCTGCAAATTAAAGTTAGACAACAAATTTTAATTTATATGTTTATATAAACTTACACGTACTCCCCATAAGCAAAATCCTCGAAGCTGCTTAATGATGTTAAGTTTTAATTATATTTCTTTTCATAGCATATGCACTGTAATATTTACTTTGTTTAATATTTGAATGTGACATCTGAAGGAGTATTTGTTGAATATTATTATATATATACACAGTCCAAGATTTGTTTTATGTTGTACGTTACAGTTTTAATAATAACCTACACCATGTGGCTTAATTAAATCAGCCTAAATACTCCAATACCTAAGTTAGAAATTCAAATTATCAACTGGGTTGACACAAGTGGTAAGCAGCTTGATGTCGCTTAAGCAAGATCTCGGGTTCGAGTACTTGTGGATGCAGAAAACTCTTGTTGGGATCAGACTCACCCACCACTGTCAGGTATGCGATTCGAGTCGACCAACGGATTAGTCGGAGCATAGCTCTGGATTCCGTGGCTGGCTACCAAAAAAAAAAAAAAATTCAATTATCAATAATATTCATAATAAAAGAATATTAGATAATTAGCTACTCATGAACATCTCATGTACATATATCGATTAGATAATTAGCTAGCTCGTCTAGATCAGTAAGCCTTCTCTATTAGTTCGTCTAGCTAATTGTTAAAAACACTTATAAGGTATAATAATATCGTAATTCGATTATAATGTGTGTTAATTTAGGTTTGAGTAAGTACTTTATCAAGATTCATCTCTATTATATCGATCTTTCAACAAATATGCATAATTTAATATCCAAATATCATATTTAGAAAAAAATATGATTACCTATTAGCTCCGTGTAAAAAATATGTTAATCTCACCTTCCACACAAGAAAACAAGCTTCGAATCAACATAAGTTGGCTCAAGTGGGCAGTTTGATGTCATTGTTAAGTGTGCGATCCGAGTCGACCAACAGATTAGTCGGGACATAGCTCCAATTACCGTATAAATCATTATTAAAAAAAAAAGAACTAGAGATGTTGTCTCGAGTCACTATCGACTGAGGTTAGAGACTGCCATTTTTAATCCGAAAAAAAAAACACTCTGTAAACCACCTGTCACCCAATACACACTTTCATGTGTTAATTACACACGTTTGACAAACAATGTGTGTGTTTGGAAACACTTTTGAAATGGGCTTCTAGACTTAAAAGTCCATCTGAATAATTTTAGGGTGTTTGGTGATTTATATTGAATGCACTTTTGAGAAAAGTCACTTCTCAATAAGTCCATTTTGTAGAAGTGAGAATTAGCTACTTCTAAAATCTATTTCACAATTATTCCCAATAAGTAACTAAAGCACTTATTTAAAATGAGATTCACCAAACATATGTGAAAATTGTGTAAGAACTTTTGTAAATGCACTTAATGAAAAGTCCATTTTTAAGATGGACTTTTGTAGAACAAGTGCTCCCAAACAAAGCCAAACCTTTTTCCCCCCAAAAAAAACTCCATCTATAAATAGATATATCTTGTCCCCCTAAACCCCTCCAAAATCACTCACCACAATTTTCACTATCTTAAAAAATATATATATATAAAAAAAAAAAAATGGTGAAGACAGAAAACAAGAATCAATCCACAAACACCAAAAAGAAGTACAAGGGTGTAAGAATGAGAAGCTGGGGCTCATGGGTGTCCGAAATTCGGGCACCCAATCAGAAGACCCGTATCTGGCTCGGCTCCCATTCCACGCCCGAGGCCGCCGCCCGGGCCTACGACGCGGCCCTCCTCTGCCTCAAGGGCCCGTCCGCAAACCTCAACTTCCCCGATTCCATAAAAACCGCCCCACAAGACTGCCAAATGACCAATTTGTCCCCAAAGTCTATCCAGAGGATTGCGGCTGCTGCTGCTGCTGCAGCAGCCGCCACGTCATCGTCGTCTTCTTCCAACTCATCGCCTTGCCTGTCCTCCGTGGCAGCCCGCGTGGACAATGACCCGATATCGCTGGCAGCTACGGCCTACGTGGACGAATGCGATTGGTACAACTTGGAGTCCAAAGAGTACCACGATGTGATGGGCGGATCATTTTTCGATCCGACGGTGAATATGATGGGTTCGGAGGATTTCGACGAAGATGGAGATATCAGGCTGTGGAGCTTCTGCTGATTGGGAAATAAGGTTTTTTTTTTATTATATATATATTTATTTGATTGAATTGAATTGAATTAAATTGAATTGATTTAATTCTTTGTGATGATCTTCAGTTTATTTGTTGAAGACATTGCTGACAGTTGACTAGGCTTCATATGTATTTTATTTCATTGCTTTTGTTTTTATTTTTTATTTTTGGTAGAACTGTGAAATTCAAGAATTTGTGAGAATTTCACAGGGAAAAAATGCAATAAATATGATAATGTACTCATGGCTCTATGTAATAATTTATGTATATTGTTTGCTTATATATTAAAACTAGTACAACAACCGTGTATTACACGGGTGCTTGCTAATTTTTTTTTTTTTTTAAATCTAAAATTAATGAGAAAAAGTAGTTTGAAAATTTAAATACCTTTTATAAGAATATATATATTATTATATATTTATTATGACACTTTTTATTTGTGCAACTTACTTGTTTTATATTATACTAATTTTTTTAACTTATAATATATAACTACATTACATATAAATATATCAATTGAGAAATAATTTTTATTTTTCTAATGAATTTAAATAAATATTATTATTTTTATTATTATAAAGATAAATATAATTTATTTATTCCATATACACAATATGGATGTCAAATCGAAGATCACCAAAAGATGATTAATTTGATATATTATATATGTGAAACCGATAAGAAATACAAAAGTTATCAACTTTTAAAATACATTTATAATTCAATAGCTTATTCAAGAAAACAATTCAAAATTCAGGGATATATTAGTCACTTAGTGTCTCGCTATGTAAAATTACAAAGAATTAAAAGGTTATATTAGTAAAAGTGATATTAAAATACCTAAGTTAGCTAAATAATATTTATGGAATACCCGAACATAAATTATTAATTATTAATATATCAATATTATTTATCCAAACCTAATTACGAAGCATGATTCTTCGCCAAATAGGATTCCGAAGCACCAGAAGCAACCACGTATACTTAGCGCATTTGGGAATTATATATAAGGAGGATATTTTTATTTTTATTTTTTTTTTTTTTTCCAATTGCTTATATCAAAATTCATTTATTTTTTTATTTATTTATTTATTTATTTATTTATTTATTTATTTATTTTGCCAAGTGCCTAACGAATTATACCAAATGACCAATTCAACATCTGCCTATTGACTGTAATCAGTTATTATAAAAATACAAGCATACATATTAACTTAATTCAATATTGTTTTGTAAATTTATAGAAAATGATGAGGGTTTGCAGTTATAGTGGAAAATTTTTAAATGCAACGAAAGTACGGAAGTGGAAAATTTTTAAATGCAACGAAAGTACGGAACTATATATATAGTTATTAAAAGTAGTATCATATACAATTATTTAAATCGATCAATTTCAGGACAATTTTTGGTTGAAATCTTTGGATTTCGACCATCTATATATTCTTCATGTTGATCAGCTTGTGCATAATTTTGATAAAAAAAATTGAATTTAGGTTGTAAATTCTTTAAAATTGACAAATATGGAGATAATTTTGGTCGAAATATGAATTTCAGACTTGAAATTTCTCGATTTACGCGTGTCATCTTTGCGCATGGGTCGTGTTAATCTTCTCTGTATCGTTCCAATTTTATTGGATGTCCCCTTCGGGACATTTCAGACTTGAAATTTAAAGAGGCACTTGTGCATGATGTATTAGTTTTCAGCTACAACCTTCCAGTGGAAATAGACGCACTCTCGTTAAACAATTTTAATTGCTACGTACACTACAAAATAATTGTCATATTCCAACAGAAAATCTTATGGTAATATATTCCAATAGAAATTCCAATGGATATTCCAATGGTATAGCTTCCGTTGGAATGGTTCCAATAAAAATTCTATTTTTTCGTTGGAATGTACTTTTCATTGGAATTTTAGATTGAATTTGATGATTCCAACGGCTATATTTCCAACGACTTTTTACCGTAGGAATTTTCGTTGGAATATGCAAATGTCGTTGGAATTTTTATTTCCACCCCAGTTGGAAAATCCACCGTTAGAATGGTCAAAATCCAACGGAAATTCCAATGGAAAACACATTCCAAGAGAATAATTTTGTCGGAATTTCTGTTGGAGTCCATTGAAAAATTCCAACGGAAATAATAGTATTGAAATATCCGTTGGAATTGCCGTTAAAATAATTCTTTTAAAATATATTTTCGTTGGAATTTCATCATTTTCTTGTAGTGGTATATGCAAATTATATATTTTGGAAAAGAACAAAATAAACATGTTATTATATATGTCAAGCTAGCATAATATAATATTTGGCATTATGCTCATCTCTTATAATTAGAAAGAAGAAAAAGAAAAAAGATCGACCTCGGTGAAATATTAGTTAATTAGTTGGAGAAAGTGTGTATTTTATATATTAATTAGCGCATGTTTATATGCTTAATTTTGTTGCACTTATGTTTTTTTTTATTTATTTATTTTTTTAGATAAATTTTTGTGCTTTGATAATTTTATATTTTACATACAAGACATTGGAATATTTTCATAGACTGCGTGGTAGCAAAAGAGAATTTGAGTAGGTTAGTATGAGATGCCCCATACTCGATAAGCTACGTAATTGGGCTCAAGGTTAATGAAATTAAAAGCCCAAATATATTGGACTCAATGGGCAAATAAAAGGGAATACAGAAACAAAAGAAAGAAAGGATTGGATCATAAACCATCCAAAAACACAGCCCAAAGTGAGAGTTGGAAGAGGATTTATTTGCAAAGAAAAACATTAGAGGCCACGTATGACTCATTGAATGGATCTTGGAAAGTTAGGAAGAGATTTAATTGAGAGGAGCATTTGCGACAGGAGACGCAGCCCCGCGTAGGATTCTTGATTAAAAGAAAAAAAATAAAAAAAGAAAAAAAAAAGACATACGCCGCAACAGAGGAGAAAGAATACTTGGAGCCGGAGTCCGATCAAAAGCATAGGAAGGCCCCACCGGCACACGAGAATATGATAACTTTATTCTTCTCTTTTCTTTTTTATTTACTATGTTAGCTAGGCTAATTTTTATTTTTTTTTCGGATATGTCGAACCATACGTACTTGACTATATTTTATTAATTACGGTAATTGACTATTTACTGTTTTTATGAAATTGTTTTGTGTTATTTTGATAGACCAACCATAATGTGTTTGATTTTATTTAGATTGATCACCTAAATAAGATTTTTCATGTTTTATGCTAGAATTGAACTTGCAATCCGTGATTGTTGTTGAGTTTAATTCATAAGTAGCAACCAGAAGTTGGTAACTACCGAGAATAACACGATCTAATTAAGTGAACCACGCGATTGGATTCACTACTTAGATTGTCTTATTCTTCTAGATCCTAAAGCGGCTATTGGATTAAATTTAGATAGTTAAACTAAAAGTAAGGAATTCGGGTACCATAGCGTGTTGCTATCTAGGGCTAGTAATTTCAGGAGGTAGTGAATCTTATTGTCACAATTAGTTAGGCTAGTCGAGAGAGTGCTTAGATGGAAACGTGAACTAGAAAATTCTCTTAATTTATTTTATTTTTTTATTTTAATTGTTTAAATTTTATTTAATTAATTAGGATCTTAGTTATTAATCAAAACTCCTCATCTTCAATTTATTTTATAATTTCAATTAATACGAGAAAATTCACACTCCTCGTAGGATCGACTCTTGCTCGCCACTACTACTAGTTATTAGTAGTTAGTTGAGGAAAAATATAAATATTAATTTGACGCGTTGCGACGCGCGGTCAAATTTTGGGCCATTGTCGGGGAGTGGTGTTATTGAATGTGGTTTCTGAGTACTAATTGAATTATGATTTTTTTACCATTTTATTTTTATCATCTTTTACCCTCTTCTTTTTCCTTGTTTTTTACCTTGCAGAATACTGGGTGGCCCATACTCCAGAGAGTAACTTGTGTCTTTGGCGATATTAGCGAGTTTGGCGCAATTGTTCGAAAATGGCAACTTATTTGCATGATTTCTATACCCACCGGTCTCCTTATCAATATGAGAGGGAGATACGAGGCTCGTGAATTGGAGATCGAGTTGAGTTTGAATATGGATTGGGAGAGTACTCGAACTCTTTCCATGGGTATTCCGAGCTATCAGTTGAGAGAGATCGCAACCCGTCGCTCGAGGATATGATGAAGGCATATTGACGGCTAACACGTTGAAATTTCAGCAAGGTATTGAGGCGAGCATCAGGAACCATGGGATGAGCATCAAGAACCAATGAGTGTACATCAAGAATTTAGAAGGCCAAGTAAGTAAATTGGCGGAACACATGAGTCGACTAGATGCACAACTCGGGGGCCGACTCCTATCTCAATCCGTGATCAACTCGAAGAATGTTAGTGCCATCACTTTGCGGAGTGGAAAAGAATTAGAAGCTCCGAAGACTCATATCGAGAAGAATGCGAGCGAAAAAGAGAACCAAGCTGTGAAAAATGGGGTTGAGCAGCACAATATGGGGGTACCCCATACTCGGCTTGCTGTAGCCAAAAAAGTGTATCGTTCTTTTTGCCCTTGTGCCGATAGAAGCTGAATCTTGTCTTATGTCTTCTAATATGAAATGGGTACTGAGCAAGGATGCATTGAAGTAATTCTTGGGCCTTCATATCCCTCCTCTTGAGACAATCGACACAAACGTAAGGCGCAAATGGGAACTTGATGAGACGGTGACCGTGATTGAGCGTGAGCTGCTAGATATCCTTGAGAAATTAGCGTCAAAGGTTCGGGGAAGAATCCAACGCCACGAAGTTGGGATTTTGAAGAACATGGTATGATGAGATTTGTGCCTCCCTTGAGGCCACCTCGAAAGCCACCCTGATTCTTTTGATGAAAAGAGAGTAATAGTCGGGCCAACGACATTAAAAAGAGGCGCTTGTTGGGAGGCAACCTAATGGTGTGCGTGGTTCGGGCAACTTCTTCTGCATTGACTAAGGTTAACTCTTTTAT